GATGGCCATGGGAAGGAGCCCATGAAGGGGTTCATCCCAACACCCCCCCCCAAAAAAAAACCCCTTGTCCTGGGGGCGCTGCCGTTACTGTAGACCCCCACACACACACCAAGCGATGCCTGCGCTGAGCCAGGAAGGTTCGGGGGGGTCTGGGGGGGCACCTCCCGCTGCCTCCGCCGCCGTTTGTTTGCTCTGGTTTAATGCAAACCAGATTTTGCAGCTGGGAAGGAGCCTGGAAGCCAAGTCCTCCCGCCGGAGTCCCTCCCGCTTGGGTTCGGTTTTTGGGGGGTGGGGGGAGGAAAAACGGGAGGTGGGTTGGGATTTTTTGAGGGGTGGGGGCTCAAGGAAGGAGGGGATTGTCCCAGGGGGTCCCCACCGATGGACCCAAGGAGTGGGTTTGTGAGACTGAGCAGAGGGGAGAGTTTTGGGGGCAGCTTAATGGCGTGAACGTGGCGCAGCCAAAACGTGCTGCGTCCCCCAGGAACGCCTTCACCGGGGATGCTCGGAGCCCCCCATAATCACTGCACCCCAACTCCAGGGCTGCCCCTTTGCAAAGGCTCAGAGGGGGATGGGGGGGGTCCCATATCCCATCCCCGCCACCGCAGTGGCACCGGGGGGGGGTGAAATCCTGCCGCCAGCCTATTTTTAGCCCCGCTGGAGCTGGGAATGGTTTGTAACGGTCGCTTCGCCGGGACGAGCGGTTGGGAAATGCCTCTCGCGCCGGGGCCGGCCCCTCCGCCGCGTCGCCCGTGTCAAAGTTTCCACTGGAAACCTCAAATTATTTTTTTTTTTATTTTTTTATTTTTTTTGCAGGAATTTTCTAATCAGCCAAAATGACCGCTCGGCTGAAGCTGGCTCTTGGCGGCGGCCCCGGTCCCCTCCGCCGCAGCGTGTCCCGTGTTCCCCCCTCCCCGTCCCCCCCTTCCCCAGGCTTGAGCAATTCAGTTCAGCTGGTTTCCATCTAATTTTTATTATTTTTATTACTTCTTTTTTTTCGCAGCGTCTCGTTGCAAAACAAACGCCGACCCTCGCTTGGCGTCAGGGCGAGGAAAACGGGGCTGATTGAGTGATTATTTCTTTTTTTTTTTGCTTTTCTTAAGGATATTGAGCCGGGCGAAGGGGACATCGGGGGGGTTTGACCCGTGTACTTGTCCCTCTTGGGTGCACTGTGGGGGCTTCGCTTGGGGGGGGTCTTGTTGCCCCCAAGGCAGGGTGGGGGTCTCGCTCCATCGGGGTGTTAATGTTTCACCCTCCCCTCTGCATCCCGCAGGCCGCCGTGCACCAGCCCCAGGGGAGATGGCGGCGGTGGCCGCGTGGCTACTGATGCTGCTGGTGGTGGTGGCCACCCCCCCGGCCCTCTCGGCAGCCCCCCGGCACGCGGCAGTGCTCCCCGACGGCGGGGGCAGCGGGGACGGCGAGGAGGTCTCGGCCGCGCCGCCCGTCCGCCCCGTGACGCCGGGGATCGGCCCGACGGTGGGGGACGCGGTGGGGACCACGGTGACCAACAGCTCGGCGCCCGGGGGCGTGTTGGACGGGCTGGTGGACTTCTTCAAGGAGTACATGCTGCTGGTGGTGGTGGTGGGCTCGCTGGCCTTCGTCCTCCTCTTCATCATCTGCGCCGCCGTCATCGTCCGGCAGAAGCACAAGGCCTCCGCCTACTACCCCTCCTCCTTCCCCAAGAAGAAGTACGTGGACGAGAGGGACAAGGTTGGGGGGGCCAGGGCTTTCAACGAGGTGCCGGAGAAAGCCCCCGACCCCAACGCCGAGGAGCCCCTCGACTGCGGCCGGCAGCTGAGGGGC